ACCTAGTCCCCTTGCCTGCATTTTCCATATATCCCTATAAATCTTTCCTATTCATGTATCTATCCAAAAGTCTTTTAAACATTTGTAACTGTACCTGCATCTACCACTTTGGCAGTTCTTTCCACACACTAACCACTCTCTGTGTAAAACAGTTGTCCCTCATATTTTTAAATTTTTATTTTTAAATCTTTCTCCTCTCACATTAAAAATATGCCGTCTGGTTTTGAAATTCCCCACCTGCCATTCACCTTATCAATATCTGTCATGATTTTAAAAACCTCTCGAAGTTCACCCCTCAACCTCCTAAGTCCCAGCTTATTTTGATAGTTCAAACCTTCCATTCCCGACAACATTCTGGTAAGCCTTTTCTGAACCCTCTCCGATTTAATAGCAGCCTTCCAACAACAGGGTGACCAGAACTGCACACAGTATTCCAGAATGGGCCTCACCAATATCCTGCACAACTTCAACATGATGTCCCAACTGCTTTACTTAAAGTTCTGAGCAATGAAGGCAAGTGTGCCAAACGCCTTCTAAACCCCCTGTCTGCCTGTGACGTAAATTTCAAAGAATTATGTACCTGAACCCCAAGGTCTCTCTGTTCTACAATGCTACCCAAGGCCATACCATTAATTGTATAAGTCCTGCCCTTGTTTATTTCACCAAATTGCAATGCCTCACATTTTTCCAAATTAAACCCCATCTGCCTCTCCTCAGCCTATTGACCCAATTGATCTCTGCTAATCTTAGATAACCTTCTTCACTCTCCACTACATCTCCAATTTTTGCTGTTATCCACAAACTTACTTACCATGCCTCCTACACTCTCATCCAAATTGTTTATATGAATTTAAGGTTCTTGTGAAGATTTGTAGCTCGGGTTGTGGATGAGGTTGATGGCTGGATTGCCCAGCTCCGAGAGCAAGCCAACAACCTCACCAATTCCTGCGGAACATGGCTAGTCACAGGCCTCCAGTCTGAAACACAACCCTCCACCATCACTCTCTGTCTCCTGCCATCAAGCGTATTTTGTATCCAATTGGCAAGCTCACCCTGAATCCCATGTGATCTAACTTTATTATGTGGGGTCTACCAAGCGGAACCTTATCAAAGGCCAAGTAAACAATGTCTACTGCTCTGCCCTCATCAATCCTCTGGGTTACTTCCTCAAAAATCTCAATCAAGTTTGTGAGACATGATTTCCCAAAAACAAAACCATGTTGACTATCTCTAATCAGTTCTTGCTTCTCCAAATTCCTATAAACCTTATCTTTCAGAATCCCCTCCAACAGCTTACCCACCGACGATGTCAGACTCACAGGTCTATAGTTTCCAGGCTTTTCCTTCCAGCCTTTCTTAAACAAAGGCCCAAAATTAGCCATTCTCCAGTCCTCTGGCACCTCACCTCTGGTTATAGATGACACAAATATCTCTGCTAGAGGTCCTGCAATTTCTTCCTATCTTCCCACAATGTCCTGGGACACCCTTGATCAGGTTCTGGAGATTTAGCCACCTTTATAGAGTGACAGAGTAGGACCCAATACGACTATACTGTAGTGTTATAGAGCATCAGACCAGAATATAATATTACTGTTATACAGTGACAGAACAGGCACAATACTACTGTATCTCAGTGTTATGCAGACAGATCTGTCCCCACTGATACTATTCCCCAGTGTCATACAAGAGACCTATATCCCAGGTTTTGTACTGTGACAGTAGTATAATTTATTCTGTGGTATTGTGGCTCTGTAAACTCAACAGCTCTGAGGGCAAGGAGGCTCAAACGCTGTTTTGATGCATTGAATTGTCCCTGGAATACATTGAGGTGGGAACATGTTGGAGTCCGATCATTGTAGATTCACGGTGAGATTGGGGTAGAGTCCCGGCCAGCTGTAGTCTGCAATACCGCTTAAGGGCAACACAAGGAGGGCGTTGTGTTAGCTGGGAGGGGGAAGGGGAGCTGGGTCATCGTAGCATGCCCTAGATTGTCCACTCCACTTTCCCAAAAGTCCTTAGCACCTTAAATATCCACACAACAAAGTGAGAATAAATATGATCAATTTCAGCTGGGAAACTAGACCTATCAATGTTGCTGGTTGCCTATCGAGCTACGTTTTATATAATAACCGGGTTTTGTATTTACAATCTCCAGCGGGGCTATAGGTTATTGAGATGGAAACATAACTACGCTCAATTACAGGGCGGGGAGCAATAAACGGAGCCTATTACAACCGGACTTTGACACCAGTTTCTGTCCCTCTCACTCATATTGCAGGAAGAGAATGATCCTTTGAACAGAGTGTGTTAGTAAAGCCTGTTACCTGGGGCAGTCTGATGGCTAAAGGGATCATTCCCAGGAGCAGGCAGCCCCCGAACATCGCCAGAGACAGCAGGATGATAGTGATCGCCCCGTCCATCGCCCCACGATCCCTCTGCGGCCAACTTCAGCCTCAGCCCCAGGTCCTCAGCAGGCGGCCGCACCTTCGCCCTCAGGTCCCATCGCCACCACCTCCGGCTCCGCCAAACTCTCAATGAAACTTCTCCCAAACTTTCAGCCCATCCACGTCGCACCGCCGCGGAATGTTGCAATATACCGCCACCCGGTGGGAGAGAGGGGAACTGCAGGGGGAGGCAACGCCGCCCGGTGGGAGAGAGGGGAACTGCAGGGGGAGGCAACGCCGCCCGGTGGGAGAGAGGGGAACTGCAGGGGGAGGCAACGCCGCCCGGTGGGAGAGAGGGGAACTGCAGGGGGAGGGAGCGCCGCCCAATGGGAGAGAGGGGAACTGCAGGAAGCGGGAGCGCCGCCCAATGGGAGAGAGGGGAACTGCAGGAAGAGGGAGCGCCGCTCGTTGGGAGAGAGGGGAACTGTAGGAAGAGGGAGCGCCGCCCAATGGGAGAGAGGGGAACTGCAGGAAGCGGGAGCGCCGCCCAATGGGAGAGAGGGGAACTGCAGGAAGAGGGAGCGCCGCTCGTTGGGAGAGAGGGGAACTGTAGGAAGAGGGAGCGCCGCCCAATGGGAGAGAGGGGAACTG